CAGCCCACACTTGAAAGTGCTTCCAAAAGTGTGGCCCAGACTCCCACGCGAGGAGGGCAGGGTCAGGGAGGGAGGGCCCAGGGCACATGTTGCAAAAAGAACGGTTAAAGGCTTCGAACTTCCGAGACGCGGCCGCGACAAGCAGCCCGGTCGTACTGGAGCAAGGCCAGGCGCACGCAACCTAGCCGGTACTCCCTCAGCACCTCCTTCCGGGCAGCGCGATCCCTCCGCGCAGCCTCGATTCTCTCAGGCGGAAACATGGCGTGGCATAGCAGGTTAGCAGGCGGGGAGGGCAGGCGGCCCAGAAGCCGAAGCGCCGCGGTCTCCCATGTCGGGGTGCCCATATCCTTCGCCGCGCGACGGTCTACGGCCGCTGGGTGATCGCAGGGCAGCGCCTGCAGGCGCGCCCTCGCCATGATCACCCTCTCCAAAAACCACGTGCCGAGCCGCATTGGCCACCAGCACTGCGCGACTACAACAGCATGCTTGATGGGAGGGCCTCTTGGACAGCCCAACAGACGCCGACCCCAGTTCACTTGGAGCTTCTTGAGGGCGGCCTCCGCCCCTGGCGTGCCCGCTAAAAGCTGGGCAGCGTAGAGCACCACGGATTCCACGCGTGAGGAAGCCTAGGCGGCTGCGACAGGGATAGAGAACCCCTCGCTTTTGCGCAGCGTGGGGCAATTTGCCGAAACAGTCAATCCCCATCGCCGCAACCTCACGGAGCAGGGGAAGAAAGGTAATATCCCCGTCAGCCAGGACACCTAGCAGGCGCTTCGCAAGCACTACGGGGCAGCCGGGGTGCGACGGGGGTGGCGCCCCAAAGATCGGAAGCACGCATGTCTCCCAACCCCATAAGTAAACTGAGACTTCATCCTCCTGGCGCGTGCATGCGGCGGGCGCCTTTTCGGACAACGCAGCGCGAATGGCCCCTGCTGACGGACGAGGCGTCGTGACGTCGTCGACGAACTGGACAGGAGGGAGGTGGCGCGACCCTGTGGCCTCCACCAGCGCCTCTCTGTCCGGGAGTGCTGGGCTGACAGAGAGAAATCCCGAGAAGGCAGTGCAACATCAACTGATGCACGCATCGCGTCATTGGCACCACGCAAGGCCACACGAGCCAAGAGAGGGATGCGAGAAGCGCGCTCCCCAGGCATGGTCTGTTCGATCTCCACAGGGAAAGCGCGCAGCTGCGCAGTGAAGGCGTGGACCGAAAAGCATCGCCCTTGCGCGGTGCCGCAACCTAGAGCGAACAAAGGCGTGACCAAATCGCGGAGCCCTACCACCTGATGATCTTGCGCAAAGACAGCGTCAAGCATCAGCCAGTCGGCTCCCCGAACACCCGCGGCGAAGACGCCCAAGAGCATATCGTCTATGGAAGCGGTGTCGAACGCTCATTTCTCGTCTGCGATCGCCCACCAGGTGGGAACGTCCTGTGCTGCTCTGAGTTGGGCGTTCATGACGAGCGCAATTAGTCAAGACACGGCGTCGCCGACGCCTCCCTGTTGGGCTGGGCCAAAATAAACCTTTATGTAGTGGGAATTTCGCGCGAACCAGGCCGCGTCTTGAACCGACGCCAAGACACTGGCAAATGAAACTGGGCGCAGGGCAGAGAGCCGACGCACTACCACTGGCTCCGATTAGCGGATCGGGGAAAACTGCCGCAACGACCAAAGACGCGAGGTAACGCACAGGGCACGCGCCAGGTTCAACAGTGCTCGCGTGAGACGGAAACCCTCCTCAACCTTGGCACGCACCGCCACGTTGCACATGCGCACGGTTCGCTTGCCTGGCTTGAGCAGCGCAAGGGCCGCCTCGACTTTCTCTTCCGAGTACGGCTGCTCTGGCCCCGCCTGGCCGGAGCTCGCGCCAGTGCGACGGATGGCAGCGACCTGGCTTGACATGCGCGTGCGTTCGGCTTGGTCCTGCGGGAAGTCCTTCTCGGCGCGCGCTCAAAGGTTCCTACGGATGGCGTCGAGCCTCTCAACTGTCGAGAGAGCCGCGCCGGAAGACTCCGTCCACTAGCTGTCTGTCGAACCGGGCTGAAGATTTGAAAACGCCCGTGAGGAAGCGTTCCGCCGCCCCTGCGTTCGTGTCCCTAAGTGGTAAATACCGGTGGCCCGCTTTGCGCCACTCCTGCTACGCAGCAGTCTCCACTTCGGACTTGTGCGTCTCGTGCGTCGGGTAAGACGCGGGACTCAAAGGAGCTCGTGAAGGCTCGCGCCCCTCGCGAGCACCAACGCGGCTCACCTTCGTGGCCCCGGCAGCGTGACCTACTAAGACGTAAGTGGCGTCCCTCGCCCAAGCCGCGTTGTTGAGCGCAGGTCGGCGCTGCAGACGAGTGGCGTTACCCCAAACCAGGGCGGCCGAAGCCGCGTGCTTCTGGCGGCCTGGTCCACAGCGTCCGCTAGCACGTCCAGCAAGTCCGAGCGCGGACGTCCACTCGTCCCCAGACGTCCAGGACGCCCGCCCAAAGCCCGCAGACCACGAAAGGGCCGGGGAGAAGGGAACTGGACATGCTTGTGGTCCGATAGGCCCGCGAACTCATCAAAGACAGACACAGGAAGGTAAGCTTCACCAGGGCTCCGCGCTTGCAACCCACGTTTGCCTACTCACGTTTCTGGCACGACGATTGATATGTTCTTGGGGCCTGCCGAAGCTTTTTTTTTTTTTTTTTTTTTTTTTTTTTTTTTTTTTTTTTTTTTTTTTTTTTTTTTTTTTTTTTTTTTTTTTTTTTTTTCCTCTCCCAGTCCCAGTCCCAGTTCTTGGCCGAGTCCGCAGCGAAAGGGGCCGCTGCACCTGGCTCCCTCCGGCAGGCCCCCTGGCTGGGCTGCCGACGCCCGCGGTCGCCTTAGGCGGCCCGGCGGGCCCGCCGGCCACCGCGCGGTCTTCGCGCCGCCAGCCGCCGCCGCCCGCCGCCCGCCCGGCCGAGCCGCCCTGTGTGCCTCGGCCTCGAGGCCGCGGGAGCGCTCGAGGCCCTGGCCCGGCCGGCTCCGCTCCGTGCCCGGGCAAGGCCGCCCGCGAAGGCCGCCAGAGCTGCCCCAGCCCGGCGGCCCGCGGCCGCAGCGCCCGCCGGCCCTGCCCGCCTGCCGTAACCCACGACGTCGGGTTCCAGCTTCGCGTCCAGCATCGCGCTGAGCAGCACGAATGCCTGTTGCCACTGCCCCCTCTTCTCGCCCGCGCTGATCCCAGCATTGTAGCTGATGACACTTGGCGCCACCTTCGCCTCCCACATCTCGCTGGGCAGCGAGAGAGCCCGCTGCCACTGCTCGCCGTTCGTGCACGCGCTGATCCCAGAGCTGTAGCTGATGACACTTGGCTCCACCTTCGCCTCCCGCATCTCGCTGAGCAGTGGGAGAGCCTGCTGCCACTGCTCGCCGTTCGTACACGCTCTGATCCCAGGGCTGATCCCAGAGTTGTAGCTGATGGCATCTGGCTCCGACCTCACTTCCCACATCTCGCAGGACAGCGATAGAGCCCGCTGCCACTGCTCGCCTTTCGTGCACGCGCTGATCCCAGAGCTGTAGCTGATGACATTCGGCTCCGATCTCACTTCCCACATCCCGCTGAGCAGTGATAGAGCCCGCTGCCACTGCTCGTCGTTCGCGCACGCGCTGATCCCAGAGCTATAGCTGATGGCATCTGGCTCCACCTTCGCCTCCCACATCTCGCTGAGCAGCGAGAGAGCCCGCTGCCACTGCTCGCCGTTCGTCCACGCGCTGATCCCAGAGCTGTAGCTGATGACGCTTGGCTCCACCTTCGCCTCCCGCATCTCGCTGAGCAGTGGGAGAGCCTGCTGCCACTGCTCGCCGTTCGTACACGCTCTGATCCCAGAGCTGATCCCAGGGTTGTAGCTGATGGCATCTGGCTCCGATCTCACTTCCCACATCTCGCAGAGCAGCGATAGAGCCCGCTGCCACTGCTCGCCTTTCGTGCACGCGCTCATCCCAGAGCTGTAGCTGATGACATTCGGCTCCGATCTCACTTCCCACATCCCGCTGAGCAGTGATAGAGCCCGCTGCCACTGCTCGTCTTTCGCGCACGCGCTGATCCCAGAGCTATAGCTGATGGCATCTGGCTCCACCTTCGCCACCCACATCTCGCTGGGCAGTGAGAGAGCCCGCTGCCACTGCTCGCCTCTCGCGCATGCGCTGATCCCAGAGCTGTAGCTGATGACACTTGGCTCCACCTTCGGCTCCCACATCTCGCTGAGCAATGGGAGAGCCTGCTGCCACTGCTCGCTGTTCGCGCACGCGCTGATCCCAGAGTTGTAGCTGATGGCATCTGGCTTTAACCTCACTTCCCCAATCTTGCAGAGCAGCGATAGAGCCCGCTGCCACTGCTCGCCTTTCGTGCATGCGCTGATCCCAGAGCTGTAGCTGATGACGCTTGGCTCCACCTTCGCCTCCCGCATCTCGCTGAGCAGCGGGAGAGCCTGCTGCCACTGCTCGCCGTTCGTACACGCTCTGATCCCAGGGCTGATCCCAGAGTTGTAGCTGATGGCATCTGGCTCCGACCTCACTTCCCACATCTCGCAGAACAGCGATAGAGCCCGCTGCCACTGCTCGCCTTTCGCGCACGCGCTGATCCCAGAGCTGTAGCTGGTGACATTCGGCTCCGATCTCACTTCCCGCATCCCGCTGAGCAGTGATAGAGCCCGCTGCCGCTGCTCTTCTTTCGCGCACTCGCTGATCCCAGAGCTATAGCTGATGGCATCTGGCTCCACCTTCGCCTCCCCCATCTCGCTGGGCAGTGAGAGAGCCCGCTGCCACTGCTCGCCTTTCGCGCACGCGCTGATCCCAGAGCTGTGGCTGATGACATTCGGCTCCGATCTCACTTCCCGCATCCCGCTGAGCAGTGATAGAGCCCGCTGCCGCTGCTCTTCTTTCGCGCACGCGCTGATCCCAGAGCTATAGCTGATGGCATCTGGCTCCACCTTCGCCTCCCCCATCTCGCTGGGCAGTGAGAGAGCCCGCTGCCACTGCTCGCCTCTCGCGCATGCGCTGATCCCAGAACTGTAGCTGATGACACTTGGCTCCACCTTCGCCTCCCACATCTCGCTGAGCAGTGGGAGAGCCTGCTGCCACTGCTCGCCGTTCGCGCACGCGCTGATCCCAGAGTTGTAGCTGATGGCATCTGGCTCTAACCTCACTTCCCAAATCTCGTAGAGCAGCGATAGAGCCCGCTGCCACTGCTCGCCTGTCGTGCACGCGCTGATCCCAGAGCTGTAGCTGATGACGCTTGGCTCCACTTTCGCCTCCCAAATCTCGCAGAGCAGCGATTGAGCCCGCTGCCACTGCTCGCCGTTCGTACACGCGCTGATCCCAGGGCTGATCCCAGAGTTGTAACTGATGGCATCTGGCTCCAACCTCACTTCCCACGTCTCGCAGAGCAGCGATAGAGCCCGCTGCCACTGCTCGCCTTTCGCGCACGCGCTGATCCCAGAGCTGTAGCTGATGACGCTTGGCTCCACCTTCGCGTCCCACATCTCGCTGAGCAGTGGGAGAGCCTGCTGCCACTGCTCGCCGTTCGCATACGCGCTGATCCCAGAGCTGTATCTGATGTCATTCGGCTCCAACCTCACTTCCCACATCCCGCTGAGCAGTAGTAGGGCCCGCTGCCACTGCTCGTCTTTCGCGCAGGTGCTGATCCCAAAGCTATAGCTGATGTCACTTGGCTCCACCTTCGCCTCCCACATCTCGCTGGGCAGTGAGAGAGCCCGCTGCCACTGCTCGCCTCTCGCGCGTGCGCTGATCCCAGAGCTGTAGCTGATGACGCTTGGCTCCGCCATCACCTCCCGTCTTCCTCCTCCTCCACGTCCTGACTCCCTGGCTCGCTGCCACTGCCTGCTGACGTCGAGCGCGGTTATCTTCGCCTCCTCCTCCTCCTCGACCTGGTCCTGCTCGTCCGCTGCCTTCTCCTCCTCTTCTATTTCCTCCTCTGCCGCCTCGCTCTCCTTCCTGGCTCGCTGCCACTGCCGCTGCCCATTTTTCGCACGTGCGCTGGCCCCATCGATGCAACTGATGACGTTGGGCCCCAGTTTGGGAATCAGCAGCGCCACAACCTGCTGCCACTGCTCCCTTGTCTCGCAGGCGCGGCTGGGTCTGGACTCCAGGCGGGGGTGGGGCGGGCGGGGGACGGAGGACGAGGGGGCGAGGGGCACGAGCCGGGCCCGAACGGCGAGGGGCGAACGACGCGGGGGAAGGGGGCGAACGAGACGGGACCGAGACGAGGGGACAGAGGCCGAAGGAAAGGCGAGGGGAAGGGGCGGTGGGCGTCGTCGGTGCGCGCCGTCGTGCAGGTGCGCGTCGTTGCTGCTGGTCGTTGCAGGTGGTGCCCGTCGTTGCTGGGGGTCGTGTTGCCGGTCGGAATTGGTGCTGGTCGCAGTCGTGGTGGTGCTGCTGCTGGTCGTGGTCGTGTTGGTGGTGCTGCTGCTGGTTGCGGTCATGATAGTGCTGCTGCTGGTCGCTGTCGTGGTGCTGCGAGTCGTAGTCGTGGTGGCGTTGGTGGTCGCAGTCGTGGTGGTGCTGGTTGTGCTGGTGGTGCTGGTCTTGGTGGTGGTGCTGCTGCTGCTGGTCGCAGTCGTGGTGGTGCTGCTGCTGGTCGCAGTCGTGGTGTTGCTGGTCGCAGTTTTGGTGCTGCTGGTCGCAGTCGTGGTGGTGCTGCGGGTTGCAGTCGTGGTGGTGGTGCTGGTAGTGGTTCTGCGGCTGGTCGCAGTCGTGGCGCTGCAGGTCGCAGTCGTGGGGCTGCTGGTCGCAGTCGTGTTGGCGCTGCTGGTCGCGGTTGTGGTGGTGCTGCTTGTCGTGGTGGTGCTAGTCGTAGTAGTGGTGGTGCTGGTGCTGGTGTTGGCCATGGTGGTGGAGCTGCTGGTGGCAGTCGTGGTCGTGCTGCTGCTGGTCGTGGTCGTGGTGTTGCTGGTGGCAGTCGTAGTGCTGCTGGTAGTAGTCGTGGTGGTGCTGCTGGTCGCGGTCGAGGTGGTGTTGCTGCTGGTCGTTGTGGTGCGGCTGCTGGTCGCGGTCGTGGTGGTGCTGGTTGTAGTCGTGGTGGTGCTGCTGGTCGCAGTCATGGTATTGCTGGTTGTGCTGGTGGTGCTCGTCGTGGTGGTGCTGCTGGTCGCTGTCTCGGTGCTGCTGCTCCTGGTTGCGGTCGTGGCGCTGCTGGTCGCAGTCGTGGTGCTGCTGGTCGTGGTCGTGGTGGTGCTGCGGGTCGCGGTCGTGGTGGTGGTACTGCTGGTCGTTGTCGTGGTGGTGCTGCTGCTGGTCGCAGTCGTGGTGCTGCTGGTCGCAGTCGTGGCGCTGTTGGTCACAGTCGTGGGGCTGCTGGTCGCCGTCGTGTTGGTGCTGGTGGTGCTGCTGGTCGTGGTGGTGCTGCTGGTCTCTGTGGTGCTGCTGCTGGTCGCAGTCGTGGTGGTGCTGGTCGTAGTGGCGGTGGTGCTGCTGGTCGCAGTCGTGGTGCTGCTGGTCGTGGTCGTGGTCGTGGTGGTGCTGCGGGTCGCAGTCGTGGTGGTGGTGCTGCTTGTCGCAGTCGTGGTGGTGCTGCTGCTGGTCGCAGTCGTGGTGCTGCTGGTCGCAGTCGTGGCGCTGTTGGTCGCGGTCGTGGGGCTGCTGGTCGCCGTCGTGGTGGTGCTGGTGGTGCTGCTGGTCGTGGTGGTGGTGCTGCTGGTCGTTGTGGCGCTGCTGCTGGTTGCAGTCGTAGTGGTGCTGGTCGTAGTCGTGGTGGTGCTGCTGGTCGCAGTCGTGGTGGTGCTGCTTGTGCTAGTGGTGCTGGTGGTGCTGCTGGTCGTGGTGGTGGTGGTGCTGCTGGTCGTAGTCGTGGTGATGCTGCTGGTCGCAGGCGTCGTGCTGCTGGTCGCAGCCGTGGTGCTCCTGGTCGTGGTCGTGGTGGTGCTGCGGGTCGCTGTCGTGGTGGTGGTGCTGCTGGTCGCAGTCGTGGCGCTGCTGGTCGCGGTCGTGGGGCTGCTGGTCGCCGTCGTGGTGGTGCTGGTGGTGCTACTGGTCGTGGTGGTGCTGCTGCTGGTTGCAGTCGTGGCGGTGCTGGTCGTAGTCGTGGTGGTGCTGCTGGTCGCAGTCGTGGTGGTGCTGCTTGTGCTAGTGGTGCTGGTGGTGCTGCTGGTCGTGGTGGTCGTGGTGCTGCTGGTCGTGGTCGTGGTGGTGCTGCGGGTCGCTGTCGTGGTGGTGGTGCTGCTGGTCGCAGTCGTGGTGGTGCTGCTTCTGGTCGCAGTCGTGGTGCTGCTGGTCGCAGTCGTGGTGCTGCTGGTCGCAGTCGTAGGGCTGCTGGTCGCCGTCGTAGTGGTGCTGGTGGTGCTGCTGGTCGTGGTGGTGGTGCTGCTGGTCGTTGTGGTGCTGCTGCTGGTTGCAGTCGTGGCGGTGCTGGTCGTAGTCGTGGTTGTGCTGCTGGTCGCAGTCGTGGTGGTGCTGCTTGTGCTGGGTGTGCTGGTGGTGCTGCTGGTCGTGGTGGTGGTGGTGCTGCTACTGGTCGTAGTCGTGGTGGTGCTGCTGCTTGTCGCAGTCGTCGTGCTGCTGGTAGCAGTCGTGGTGCTGGTCGTTGTCGTGGCGGTGCTGGTCGTAGTGGTGGTGGTGCTGCTGGTCGCAGTCGTGGTAGTGCTGGTTGTGCTGGTGGTGCTGGTCGTGGTGGTGCTGCTGGTCGCTGTCTCGGTGCTGCTGCTCCCGGTTGCAGTCGTGGTGTTGCTGGTCGCTGTCGTGGTGCTGCTGGTCGTGGTCGTGGTCGTGGTGGTGCTGCGGGTCGCTGTCGTAGTGGTGGTGCTGCTGGTCGCAGTCGTGGTGGTGCTGCTGCTGGTCGCAGTCGTGGTGCTGCTGGTCGCAGTCGTGGCGCTGCTGGTCGCAGTCGTGGGGCTGCTGGTCGCCGTCGTGGTGGTGCTGGTGGTTCTACTGGTAATGGTGGTGGTGCTGCTGGTCGTTGTGGTGCTGCTGCTGGTTGCAGTCGTGGTGGTGCTGGTCGTAGTCGTGGTGGTGCTGCTGGTCGCAGTCGTGGTGGTGCTGCTTGTGCTGGTGGTGCTGGTGGTGCTGCTGGTCGTGGTGGTGGTGCTGCTGCTGGTCGTAGTCGTGGTGGTGCTGCTGCTGGTCGCAGTCGTGGTGCTGCTGGTCGCAGTCGTGGTGCTCCTGGTCGTGGTCGTGGTGGTGCTGCGGGTCGCTCTCGTGGTGGTGGTGTTGGTGGTGGTTCTGCTGCGGGTCGCAGTCGAAGCGATGGTGCTGCTGGTCGCCGTTGTGGTGGTGGTGGTACTGCTGACCTCCTCGTGGTGCCCGCTGCCGTGTCGGGGGTGCTCCCGGCGCTCGTCGGAGCCCCCCGGGGCGGCCGTGCTGGCCGCGGCGCCAAGCATCAGGGGCGCGCTGGCAGGCGGCTAGCGGGTGGGCCGGCGGAGTCTGCGAGCAGCACTTCAGCCAGGTCTGGGTCGTCCTCCCCGGCGGCCCCCCCCAGGGCTAGGTAGCCGTCGCCCGTCAGGGTGGCCATGAGCGAGTCCTGGGCCGCGACGCTCAGGAACCCCCACCAGCGGTTGGTGTACGCGAGCTCCGCGGAGCGGCGGAGGAGGGCCGGCGCGGCCCGCGCCTTCTGCTTGGCAAGCAGGCGTACCAGCTGGAGGGAATCGCGGCCCCACCTGCCTCCGACCTCGCAGGAGAGGACCATGAGGCGGCCTGAATGGCCGGTCGTGAGTTCGTGGTACCTGCGTCGTTTGCGCCTTTCGGCCCCAAGTAGCGCGGCGCCGTCGGTGTCGAAGGTGCGCGGCCGGTGCCAGCCGTCCCTGCGGAGGGGGGACACCATGGTGCTGTCGCAGCACAGCGGGACGCCGTTCGGCGAGATGCCGTAGACGACTAGGTCTAATTGTCTGCGGTCCAGCGGGTTGTGGACAACGGCGTTAGTGTCCCGCAGCAGCTGTTGGGGGACAACTCTCCCTCCTGCTTCTCTGGCGACCCTCGCCCAAGCTCGTTCGAGCGGTTTCGCGCGTCTGGCGAGAAGCCCCGTGCGTGGGCACGCGGCTAGGTGGTCTCCCAGCGTGTCCAGCCGGGCCCGGCAGCCTGGGTGGCCGGCTGCCCCGCAGGTGTGCGGGAGGAGCGGCAGCGGGAGCCTGAGGCGCCGGCGCAGGGCTGCCAGGAACCGCGCGGGCTTGAACACGTGCCCCTCGGTGGTGGGTAAGGTGTGAAGCCAGTAGGCGGCCCTCGGTCCTGAGCCTGACCTTAGCATGGCCTGGTTGGCCCTGGTGAGGCTGGGCATGAACACGTTGTCCCTGTAGTGTGTGTTGCGTGCGGAACAAGCGTGGAACTGCCAGCCGTGCTGCCATTCCCCCGGTTCGGCGGCCTCCGAGCGCGGCGGCGCTTCTGGGCGCAGCCCCTGGAGCAGGTCGGTCCAGGAAGGTCTCCGAAAGCCTTCGGTTTCGAGCAGCTGTGCGGCCGCGGCGGCTGCGGCAAGGTTGCCCCTACGGCCGGGCCTGGTGCCGTCGAGGAGGTCCCTGATCGCTGCAGCTTCAACGGGGCGCCGTTGGTGGAGCATGTGTAGGGCGTCTGCCCAAGCGCCCCAGTAGGCCGCTGGGGACGTGCGCGCGGCGCTTTGGAGCCCGAGTCCTCCGTGTCGTCCAGGCATTGCTGCCAGTGCGCGCGCCCGTCGCTCTTCGTCTTGCGACATCGCGGGGTCCCCGAGGAGGCGGCGCAGGGTGGCCCACATGTCGCCGTCGTGGCCTCTCGCGTATTCTGCGATTTCCTCTGGCGGCAGGGTTCGCAGCAGGTGGTTGGCCCGCGGGGAGGCGCAAAGGAGGAGGAGGAGCCAAGCGCACTGTAGGTCGGGCAGGTGCGCCAGTTCGTCCAGGAGTCTCCTCTCTTCCTGTAGTCTGCTCTCCAGGTGTGCTGCGACGAATTCTGGGGTGCCTACGGGGGTGCCAAGGATCTTGATTCCTCGGTCGGGTGGTGCTCTGTCACCCCTCCAGACGTCTTGCCCCAGCTCGCCAATTCCGGGCGGCGCTGCGCCTCCGCCCCTGCTGTAGGCCCGGCACTTGCCAAGGTGGCAATCCACGTTTGCGTGGAGGTGAATTGCTCCGGTGGTGGTGTCGAAAGCGGCTCTGGCCCTGGCCCGGGTGGTCTTGATGTACACGTCGTCCAAGAAAGCGACTAGGAAGTCCCCTTGCTCTAGGGTCCTGGAGGCGCCCGCCAGCGCTCCGTGCAGGGCAAGAGCGAAGAGGGCTGGGGCCAGCGCGTCCCCCTGCTCCACGCCCTCTCCCTGGTGCACGTCGTGCACAGTCCCCATTTCGTCTTGCCAGAGGTAGGTGGAGTCTTGCCCGTACCACATCTCGGCCAGCTCTGGGCGAGCAAGGAGCTCCTGGAAGAATGCCGACCTCGACACATGGTCGAAAGCCCCGACTCCATCGATGCAGACAATCACTGCGTCGTCGTCGTGGTCCAGCACTGACCTCAGCAGCATGGCGGCGCAGTCGGTTCCTGCCCGCGTCGTCAGGGCGAACTGGAAGGGCGCAGTTGCGGCCGCGAACTGCTCGGCGAACTGTTGAGCGAGCGCCCTGGTGACCAGTCGGCGGAAAACGTCGCCGGTGGCGATGCCCCGTACTCCGTTGTCTGGTTTCTGGAGCGCCGTCATCTTGCAGAGGGCTAGAGCGCGGGCAATCGGGGAGGGCACCCGCGCCTCCGCGAGGGCAGCGGCGGCGAATCCAAGCAGGTCCATGGACTCTTCGTGCTCCAGCAGCGGCTTGAGGTGCTCAACGCGGACCCCCGACGGTCCTGCTGCCGTGCCCTTTTTGGCGGACCGGAGGCAAGCGAGGAATTTGGTCTTGTCGAGTCTCGCTCTGTCCGTTGCGCGGTCGAGGTTGGCGGGTAGTCGGCGGCTCAGGGTAGGCGGTCGGCGGGCCGGGTCCCGCAGCCTGTTTAGTGTCTCCCCGTTGCCGGGCGCAATCGCCGCCGCGGTCAAGACCTGTCTCCCCCGTGACGGGTTGCCGTTTCGGACGTGCGCGCAAGCCTGTTCTCTGCGTCTCTCCTGCTGTTGCTCCTCTGTGGCTGGCCTCGGCGCTGCGCGCGCGCCGGCCGTGGTGTTGGCCTCGTGTAGCAGGGCCAGCCAGTCGCCCTGGCGGAACCGTTGGGCGCGTTCCAGGAGCTCTTGTCGGCCCTCGGCGTCGGTACCCTTGGGCTTGCTTAGCAGGAGCCTCGAGGCGAGGAGGAACAGTGTCCATCCTTGGTGGGTTGTTGCTTGGTTGCCCTGGTCGTGTCCTCGCTTGATCCTCTTCAGGGCCGTGGTGAACGCCATCCGGGTCTCCGCGCGCAGGAAACGTGGCACGTTCTGTAGTGTCGGCACGAATCTCCGGAGCTCTTGTTGGAGGTCGATGCCCCCGAGAGCTGCCCAGGACTCTTCGGTGGGTCCGTTGCTCGGGGCTGGGGCCTGCGCTGGTTCGGCCTCGTGGTCGGTCTCCTCAGTGCTGGAGTTGCTGCCGCCGTCGTTGGCGTCTCCCTCCTCCGCGCCCGTGTTTCCGCCGTCGCTGCCGCTGCTCGGGCCTCCTCCTCCCCCTTCTCCGCCGCCTCGGCCTCTTCTGGCGCCTCTTCCTCGTCTGCTTTCTCTGGCGCCTCTTCCGCTTCTGTCTCCGGGGGCGCCTCTGCCCACCACGGCGGCAGGGCCGTTCGCGTGCTGGTCTCCAGGCAGCTCCGGCTCCTGGGGCGCCTCTGGCGGTGGGAGCGGCGGCGGAGGCGCCGCGTCTACCCAGAAGCTTGGGTTGCGCAGCTCGTTTGTGCGTGCGTCAACTCCTCGTGCAAGCACGCCGCCGCCGAAGGCTTCGAGGAGGAGGTCTTGCACCAGCGGCTGTATGTAGCCGGTGCTGCTGTGCGCCACTGCCTGGACGACTGGCGCAAAGGATACGTGCCCTGGGCGCTCTCCTCCGTCTGCAGCAAGCACCGCTGGTACTTCCCCGGGCCGAGCGTCGGTGTACGCCAGCATTTGGACAAAGGGCCCTGTTAGTACAGGTCCTGCAAGCCGCAACGTCTCTACCGTCGGCTGCCACCAGGCATGTGTGAGGCGGTGCTCACTCCACTGCGCCCCTTCGCTTGGGTCTAAAAGCCCGGCGGCTGCGAGCAGCAGGGGCACGTGCACTGCGGAGTTGGTGCGTGCCTGGAGGGGCGCTTGCGGTGGGGCCCAGCCGGCGAAAGGGCTGTGTTGTGGCGGCCTCGCGGCGGCTCGCTCTGGCCCTGGCGGGGGGGCTGGTGGCGATGGCTCTGGACCTGGCGGGGCTGGTGGTGGGGCAGAAGGCACTTCTCTGGTCCATGCGTCTGGTTCGCACAGAGCGCACCTCCATTCGCCTTCGGCCGTGCTGGCTTCCGCGGTCCACGTGCCCTGCTCTAGGCACCTCGCGCACATCTGTTGGCCGCTCTGTGGCGCGATCGTGTCGACGGCGCAGCGCGCCCCGCAGCGTGGGCAAAGCCATGACTCAAGCCACTGCGTGATCATCCCGTTGGTGTCGCGTGCAGCAATCTCTGGGGACCATTCCATGCGGCGGTCTGGCACTTCGGAGAATTCGGGCGGTGGGCCGAGGCGTCGGCAGCAGAGCGCTCGGAGCAGCGGTGGCTCCCGTGGTGGTGGTTCTTCGCCTCGCGCGTAGCTTCGAAACCCATTGTAATCTGGGACGGCCTGGGCGCTGGTGTCGTGGGCCGGGGGCGGCGGTCGGTCTATGTCCACGCCCTGCGCGGCGCACCATGCCCGTAACTCGGCGGTGGTCGGGAGTCTGGCTCGGCACTGCGGGCAAGTGGTGGCTTCGCCAAGGTGGCGGGCCAAGTCGGCGCGGCAGCCCAAGTGGAAGTGGGCGCCACAGCATGCCTCCTGTGTTGGTGTGTCCCTGCCCGCCCCATGGTGCGGGATCACTTCCTGGCAGACGATGCAGATGTTGGCGTCTTCTGCCGGCGCTGGTGATCGGTCTGGCTCCTCCCGCGCTGTTGCTGCCGCTTCTGCTGCCTCGCCCTGCCTGTCGCCGTGCGGGGCGAATAAGCCCGCAAAATTCCATCCGCCTTCTGGCGCCCTCCCGAAGACGGCGCCAAAGTGGTCCGGCACGGCTGGCGCGCCAAGCTGAAACCCTGCGGCTTGTACCCGGAGCAGAACACGTGGTGGGGTCTCTTCCTGCGACGGGATTGGCGCCGCGCCGCCGGGTGCGTGCTCTGGCGACTCTGGTGGTGACGTCGTGTGTCTCGGGCGCGGTGTTCGGGGGCTGTCCCCGGGTGCGTCTGGAGGTCCTGGGTGGCTGGCCTCGCCCACTCGAACGCCTCGGTAACCCCATCGCGCGTCGCGGCGGCTTTTGGAGGGGTTGCGCTGGTGCTGCTGCTCGTGGTGGTGCACGTCGTGGTGGTCTTGGTCGCTGCGTTGTGCTGTGCGCTGGTGTTCTTGCGCGTGGTGCTGGTCGCAGTCGTGGACGTTGTTGCCGCTGCGGTGCTCCTCGTCGCGCTGGTGTTGCTGCGCGTGGTGTTGGTGGTCGCGGTGGTCGCTCTGCTGGTGCAAGATGCTTTCTGCTGCTTCTCCTGCTGCGGCCGCCTGTTTGCGCGCGGCTCTGGTGGGAGGGCTTGCCCTCGTCGCCTTTGCGCGCCAGGTAGAAGCGGTGGCTCCCGTTTCTGGGAGCTGCGGGGCTGCCGGTGTGAGCCAGGGTGGCAGGAGGGCATTGGCGGTAGCTGCAGTTCTGCGTTGCCCTTGTCGGCCCGGCGCGGGCAGGACGTGGTGGTAGCATCGTGGGCTGCCACTGGACGGAAGTGGCATCCTCGTGTTGGCCACGCTCTGCGGTCCCCTTGCTGGCGTTGGCTCGGCAGCGTTCCTCTTCCGCTGGCGGGCGCGTTGGCGTGCGCTCGGCTGCAGGGTCGGGCTGTCCGTCTCCAGCGTCCCCACCCCGGCCTGCCTCATGACGGCCGTTGCGCCCTCGTTTGTGTAGTCCGGTCTCGTGTTGGGTCCGAGGGGCGCGCGCAAGAGCTTTTGGATGCAGTCTCGCGTGCTTGGTGTGGATGAGTCGTGGTCGGTGGTGTTGTGAGCTTGGTAGTCGGGCTGCGTGGTGGTTCGCTCTTCGATTTTTACGCTGCCCCGCGCCGCGTGCCGCCTCAGGTGGAACCGGTCCTCGAGGTAGGTCTGTCGCCTGGAGAAAGCTTCCTGCTGCCGCATGGTCTCGGCATGTTCGTGGTAGGCGTGTGCCTCTCTGTTCGCTCTCTCCCTCTTCTCGGTGCGGCGTCTGGAACGACGGTGGTTCCTCGTGGCGCACCGAGTGGGCAAAGGCGAATACCCAGCGCTGCGGTCGACCGGTGGGTCTGCGAGTCTGGGTCGGCTGTCTGTGTCTTCGGGCGGCGGGGCAGGTGTGAGGCTGTGCTCGCCTTGAGCCAGGTGGCGGAAGGGGTTCAAGCGGAGGGGGTCGGGGGCAAGTCGTGTCGTTGGGTGGTCGGTCGTAGTCGTGGTCGTGGTTGTCTTTGTCAGCTCGCGGCCTGGAAGGGCCCCTCTCCTGACCGAGTTTTTCGCTCCGCGCCCGCTGTGAGGATTGCCGAGCGCAGGCGGGATTTTGTGGAGGGGCCTGGCCGACGCCCATACTCACCTGCTCCGACAATTGACGGGTGCAAGCCGCCTACGTACGGGGAGGCAACTGGCGATCCAGTCGCCGGATTTGCCTCCAGCGTTGGGATGATCTCCCTGCGTAGAAACTGCTCGAGCTCTTCGGCGATTGCCCACAACAAAGACGTTCCAGTGCCCGCTTGCCGAGTGACCTCAAGCGGGCGGTGCGGCGCTAGCTCCAGTAAAGCCAATGCATCTCACAGTGCGGCCGTCTGCTCACAACGTCGGCTCTCTACCGCCGCCCAACGGATAACTTTATCTCGCAGTGGCGCGAGCACCCGATCAACCTGATGCCGCCGAGCAGCCCGCGGGTCAGCCTCCATTGGGCCCGCGGGCGAGGGCGCCGGCGGGGGCGACCGACGGGGCCTGCTCGCCGGGCCCGCTCGCCCGAGCTTGGTGGCAGCACGCGGTGGCAGAGGGCGCGAGAACTGAGAGGACGACCGAGGGAGAGACAAAGCAAGACCGCCGGCGTCGCACGGGCATGCGTGAGCGTTCTGTGGCCTTGCTCCATGGATGGCAAACGCGTGCTCCAACATACAAGAAACGCGGGAACAAAACAAAAGACAACGAGAAGGGCGAACAAGAGAGTCGACAGCAGGACATCCCCCCACGCGCCACCATCTTCGTGGACTCCTCCCACTGGCACAGGTTCCACCAGAAAAACAAGGAGAGAACGACAAAGTAGGGCGACACACAGCCAGCAACGTGCCACGAGACCAAACGACGACGGCGACGACGACGAAGACGACGAGGGAGGCGAAGGCGACGGAAGACGACGGCAACGCCGGCGAGGCAGGCCGACAGATTTGCAAGAGCGCAGCGCCGTCTTGCAAAAATGGCGGCTGGCATTTTCAACCTTAGAAGCGACAGGAGAACAAGACGGCAAGATGGCAGCAACGCCGGCGAGGCAGGCCGACAGATTTGCAAGAGCGCAGCGCCGTATTGCAAAAACGGCGGCTGGCGCTTCCAACCTGAGAGGACGACGCGAGAACCAGGAGCAAGAGTAATCGAGGGGTCACAAGCTCAGCCATCTTTTTCCAAGCGCATCGCGCGCCCCCTGCCGCCTGTCAAGGAGCCGCCGCTGACAACCGATATAATCAGGCACTACCCTGGAGCATGGCAACGACCGCCCCTGCAGGGGTATGCGCGGAAGGCCCCGCGGCCTCCGCCCCATCCCACTGCCGACGCCGCCGCCGCCTAGAAGGCTGCCGTCAGGTACGCACCGAACGTCTACGCAAGCGGAGGAAAAAGGCAGAGGCAGAGAATAGGACAAGCGGGGGGAAGGCCAAAATGGCTGAGCGCGACGCGCCCCGGGACTCAACGCCTGCCGAGCAAGTCGCCCACTGACCACCGGGTAGGCCTGCGCTGGGCACCCGGGGCCGGCGCGCGCACTGGAGCCGCAGCGGACTTAATGTCCGTTGCGTGGCCGAGGAACAGCAAAAGCTGATCTAAGCAGGTTTCAAATGCACACCGTTTACCCTTAACTACGATCTTACCCTGGCGCTTGTTCCCTACCTAGGCTCTGCCTAGAAGTGTTCTTACTCTCTAGCTGAAAGGGGCCGGGCAGTGGAAAGCGCCCCGGGCGGTTCCCCCAGTCCCCGCCCCGCGGTTCCCCCAGTCGCGCCCCCTTAGCTTGGCTTAGCTTATCTCGTCTTAGCTTAGCTTGGCTTCGCTCAGCTTAGCTTAGCTTAGCTTAGCTTAGCTTAGCTTAGCTTAGCTTAGCTTAGCTTAGCTTAGCTTAGCTTAGCTTAGCTTAGCTTAGCTTAGCTTGGCTTACCTTAGCTTAGCTTAGCTTAGCTTAGCTTAGCTTAGCTTAGCTTAGCTTAGCTTAGCTTAGCTTAGCCTAGCCTAGCCTAGCCTAGCTTAGCTCAGCCTAATGTAGCTTAACTTAGCGTATTATAGCATAGCATGGCATAGCATAGCACATCATAGCATAACAAAGCACAGTCTTGCATAGCATAGCTTAGCATAGCTTAGCATAGCGCCCCCCCTTAGCTTGGCTTAGCTTATCTCGTCTTAGCTTAGCTTGGGTTATTTACAGCTTTAGCTTCAGCTTAGTTTTAGCTTGGCTTTAGCTTAGCTTTAGCTTAGCGTTAGCTTAACTTTAGCTTAGCTGTAGCTTAGCTTTAGCTTAGCTTTAGCTTAGCTTCAGCTTAGATGTAGCTTAACTTTAGCTTAGCTGTAGCTTAGATTTAGCTCAGCTCTCGCTTAGCGTTAGCTTAACTTTCGCTTAGCTTTACCTTAGCTGTACCTTAGCTTTAGCTTAGCTTTAGCTTAGCTTTAGCTTAGCGTAAACTTAGCTTTAGATTAGCTTGAGCTTAACTTCAGCTTAGCTTTAGCTTTGCTTTATGTTAGTTTTAGTTTAGCTTTAGCTTAGCTTTAGCTTAGGTGTATCTTAGCTTTACTTAAGCGTTAGCTTAGCTTTAGCTTATATTTAGCTTAGCTTGAGCTAAGATTTAGCTTAGCTTTAGCCTAACTTTGGCTTAGATCTAGCTTAGTGCTAGCTCATAGTTAGCTTGGCTTTAGCTTAGCCTTAGCCTAGCGTTTTAGTAGCTTTAGCTTAGCTTTAGTTTAGTTTTAGCTTAGCGTTAGCTTAGCTTTAGCTTAGGTGTCTCTTAGCTTTAGCTTTAGCTTAGCTTTAGCTTAGCTTTAGCTTCGCTTCAGCTTAGCTTTAGCTTAGCTTTATCTCAGCTTTAGCTTTAGCGTAGCTTTAGCTTAGCTTTACTGATGCTACTAGTGCTCCTTTCCTGGGGGCTCCAACTCCTAGGTAGGGTCGCACTGGGATAATTTTGTAATTGCACCGGAAGCTTTATTTAACATTGGGGACGTCTTCTAGGTAACTTCCAAGCCTGGCTGGCCAAAGTCGCCCGAAACGGTTGCACAGGGCGGCGCCGCGTCGGGGCCCGCGCGAGGGCCATCCAACAGCACTTCGACCCCCATTGCGCGAACCAAATCATAGAGGTCAGACTGGCTAGGGCACCGCGCAAAAAAAGGAGCCTGCACGGACGCTCTGCCGTCTACGCTGTCGCCTACAACGTCGCGCAGGCGCTGACGCCAAGCGCCGATAGCTTCGTTGTGCTCCTCGACTGTAGTAAACTTGGCCACGGACCTGGCTTGCACAAGTGCCTCACCCGCTGGCATGGCGGAGCCCGGCGCAGGAGGGGCCCACGGCGCCGACCGAACAGCAACCGCCGACCCCCCCTGGGGCGCGGGCGCGGCAGCAGGCGCAAGCTGGCGTGGAGAACTCGCACGCCCGGCGACACTGGCAGGGTTAAAAGGTTGGGGCGCAACAGGAGCATGGCGCGCTGGCTCCACCACTGCGGCGCCACTCCTCCAACTGGCGGCAGGTGCTGGGACAACGCGGCCAAGCTTCTGGGCAACCTCAGGCGAGACACCACGCGAGACCACGTTCGTTTCCCGATGGGTCCACACTTTACCGCCAGCAGGGCTTGCAAATTCGCCCCACAAGGCTGGAGTCGCTTGCAGCACCTGCAACTCTGCCTTGATAGCTTGAAGTTCCAGGTGCTGCTGGGAAGCGTGCTGCTGGCAAGGGCCCCCAGGCGCTGCCAAGCCCACTGTGGGGGGCGCGGGGTCTGGGTAAGTCCACTGCGTCTGCCCAGAGGCGCGATGCTGATAGTACAGAGCACCAGAAAAATCGCGCCTGGACTCCCACCCGATCGGTAAAGGAGGCGGGCTCGATTGCCGAGGACCAGGTGACGGCGCGCACGCTCCCGCAGCGGATCTAGCGGGCGACGAGCGCGCGTGAGCAGGCACCGCCCCCTCGACCACCCCCACGCGCGGCGGGGGCGGGGGCGGCGGCGGCGGCAGCGGCGACGGCGGCGCTGCCCCATGCCAGCCATCGGGAGGAGAGTATGAGCCCAGGGAGCGGGCTGGCCTCAGGGTCGCTGGCGTCCGTGTAAGGGTCGACGTTGCGCCAGCGCCGATACCTGCGCTGGTAGTGGCGTAGGCGCAAGGGCAGTCGCTGACGTCGTTGCAAGCGTTGGCTCTGGTGTCTCCAGTGTTGGCGGCGACGGCGGGGTCAGAGAAGCTGGCGGCGATGCTGGGGTCGGCGATGCACGTGTCGATGCCGGGGTCGACAGTGCTGGGGACTGTGCAGGCTTCAGATTAAGGGTCAACGAAGCTGGCGTCGATGCTGGCGCCGGCGATGCTTGCGCTGGTACGGGAGTCGACGGCGCGGGCGACAGCGCCTGAGTCTATGCTGCCTTCTATGGTGATGTAATCGACGATGCACGGTTCGATGCTGGGGTCGGCGGCACTGGCGACTGCGCAGGCGTTTGAGTTAGATTCGACGATGCTGGCGTCAAGGCTGGAGCCTGCGATGCAGACGCCCGTGCAGGAGTCGACAGTGCTAGCGACATCGCAGGCATCGATGATGAAACCGACGATGTGGGCGTTGATGTTGGTTTTGTCTCTGGCCTGTGCGCAGTCGTTGGCGTCGATGCACGCGTTTGTGCTTGCGGGGGCGCTGCAAACCGAGGGGATGGTGTCGATGATGCTGTCGTTGATGATGCTGCCGGCGGCGATGCTGATGGTTGAGGGGCCCCAGGGGGCTCCTGGACGAGTGCCCTGAGCCCATCGAGGGCGAAGTCGGCGGAGCTTGGCTGGGGCCTGGGCGCGATTGTCAAGGGGGTCTGCGACGCTGGTGGCGTTGAGGGAGAAAGGCTTTTATGTGGGCAGAGCTGCGGGTCAGACGTGCCCGCTTGCCCAGGCCTTTCGATCGGAGGGGGGCCCTCGCTCTCGTGCCCGTCAAGCGGGCGAGGCCGCGGCGCTAGGCGGCGCGGCGGGAGTGGACAGACCTGCTGCGCAGCCTTCGCGCGAGGAGGAAGAATAATAATAATAATAAGAAGAAGAATGATAATGCGAATAAGACGAAGGAGAATAATAATATTAAGAGGAATAACAATAAGAAGACAACTAAGAAGAAAACTACGAAACATGCCAAGAAGAAAAAGAATACTAAGAATATTACGAAGAAGAATAATGTTACTAATAATATGAAGACTAATACGAATACTAATGGTAAGAATAATACGACATAGCACGAATAGTAAGAATCCTACTGGTACTAGTACTAATATTATGAATAATACTAATGGTAATCAGATACTACTACTACTACTACTACTACTACTACTACTACTACTACTACTACTACTACTACTACTACTACTACTACTACTACTACTGCTAATAATAATTTTAATAATAATAGTAATAAGAGAATACTATTAATAAATTTATTATCGCTAATAAAAACGTGACGAAGAAGATTAGAAAAATACGAATAATAAGTATCATAATAATGGGAAGAAGAATAAGAAGACTATTGGCCTCCGCATCGGCGGCCACGGGTCGGGCGCCCGCCGCGCGCCGCGCGCCGCGCGCCCGGCCCGCGGACCCCTGCGGCGCCCCAGCGCGTCCCCCAGGAGAGAGGTGGACGAGATGGAACGCAGGGTGCCCCCGTCTAGGGTCGGGTTTTTCACCGCCCTTCGTGGGCCCCCCGTGGAAAGATGAATGCTCGCAGCCCGCGCCGATCCACCCCCCCGCGTGCGCGCCGAGATGGCGGCGCCAGCCCTCAAAAAGCGAACGGCTGGCCCCCCCGTCCCAAGGGGGCGCGCGGGGGTTGGCCCCGCGCGCGCGGCCAGCATAGAGAGTGGAGAGCATGACAAACAACAGGGAGGCGAACAAGGACAATAGAGTGCAAAAGCAAACAACAAAAAAGACACATCATATGCATCGGATAGGACATGTGGCATAGACCCAGTACAATGCGGCCTGTGAGCGGTGCAGGATATCCAAGCACGACGACCGCGTCGCGACTGTGAGGCAGGAGCAAGAAAACAAAAGGTGGAAGCGCAGGATCAAAAAGAAAGTGCAAAGAGAAACAGCACAAACACTGCAAGGTAAGGAGCCGATGGCAGCAATCAATCAAACTACAGAGAGGGGCAGCTGGAAGAAGAAGAAGCGGGACATGGGGGAAACGGAGGGGGAGGGGCGCAAGGGGGGAGGGGCAGGGCAGAGAACGCGGGTTCGGCCTTGGGAATAGGGTTCCACTCAGGAATTGCCCTTGTGGTCTGCAGGGCCGACGGGGGGCGCGCCGTCAGACCAGGGGGGGGATCTTGCACTGCTGGGAAACCCTATTACTAGAGAGGGCACGGCGCGCCGCGGCAAACACCAAGCAGCACGACACGGCGCGGCCACGCAGACAGAAACGGCACGTCATTTACAAAAGCACGCACACATGAGAGCGACAGTCTTCCATTCAAGTGAGGAGGCATGGAAAATGAGAGCAACAGAGAAGAGAGATGATGATGGAAAGGGGCAGCAGGGGTGCACTATGTTGTTTCCTGGCCGTCATGCCTTTTGCTGCATCGCCGTCGTGCTCGCGGGCGAATCCGATATCTGGTCCAGCTACTGCAGTGCGTGTGGTGGGTGGGGTGGGGGGGGGGTGAGCACGACGGCGCCGGCGATTGCCGGCCCCCCCCTGCCCGAGCCCCCTACAGAGCCACCAGCAGCGCCCTAGAACTGACTCGAACCGGTGATGGCCACGAGCATCGCAGCAGCAACGAAGCGAACGTGCTCGCGGCGCTCCACCGGCGGCCGGCTGTGGTGGCAGAGAAACTGCGAGACTTGGGCGCAACAGGAGGAGGGAGGCAGAGGGAGCCGAGACCAAAGGGGAGCCCGGTGAGTTGCTGTCGCGGGGCACGCGAAATGGGCGCGCCAGATGTCCACGTCCAGCGCGCCGCAGCCGCCGCAACGGGGCAGGGTGGCGACGCAAAGCGGAGCTCCCAAGACCTGGAGCGGCCAGCAGCCCGACATGCGAACAACCGCCCACAAGCGAAAGTGGAGCCAGCAGGCAGGCCCAAGGGCAAGGTCCAGCATGTTCCACTGCAGCCCTGGCGACCCTGTATGCCAAGCCGAAAAAGGCAATCGAAAGACAGGCAAGGCAACGGCAGTCGCCCGTTGGAACACGGCAAGATCAAGTTTGGAAATGGCTGGGCGAACGACGTCAAACTTGCAATTGCGAAGGAGTAGGCGGCGGGCCGCGGGATCGGCGCGGGCAGCGGAACACGCCTGCTCGCCTGCGAAAGGCCAATCAACCACGTCCAGGATGGGGCTGCCCAGCGCCGCCATCAAAGCCCGGGCGGCGCTCGCCCAGGTGGGGCAAGATGTGGCCGAGGCCAGCCTAAGCATGCTCTGGCGCCCGGGTGCGTTTCTGGCAGTAAGAAGAGCCTCGCCCGAGCCAAGATGGTGCGCTCCACCATCTTGGTGCCCAGTCGCAAATGCCACCCGCACTGTGCAATGACAACCTCGCCTGGCAGCGCCGGACCTATGGCGCAGCCGAGAAGGCGACGGGCCCAGGACGCTTGCAAAGAGTCGAGCGAGTAGCGGGCGCGCGGAGCAAGGAAGAGAAAATGGGGGCGGGTATAGCAACGGGGAGTCCACGCGTAAGGGCACCTGGGCACACAAGACTGGGAGACCAAAGCCGCCCGTCTCCCAAGCGAAGAATAATGATTCAAGCAAATCATTGCCTCGTAGCCAGCGTAGCCCGAAGGAGTGGGCCAAAAGTGAGACGGGCATCGAAGAGAGCCCCCAAGAGAAGCTTTGTGTCCACCACTGGGCATCCGACATCACCAGCGGGGGGGCTGTCTAGGATTGCCATGGCAGCCGTCTTCCCGGAGGAGTAATTAAACTGGCAGCGGGTGCGTCTCGCATACCGCGAGCAAGCTGACCACGGCTCCCGTGACACAATGGCCCGGAGAGTGCCCGGGGAGGACGCGGCAACCGTGTGGTCGTCGACGAACTGCAAGGGGGGAAGGAGGCCCGAGCCCAGACGGTCGAGCAAGTAGGGCCGATCGGCCTCGGTGGTGACCTGCGAAGCCCCTAAGGAGATTGCCTGCTCGGCCCTCGGGAAAGGCGCATGCTCGGCCGCAGCTGCCGACGCCACCTCGACTGCTAAAGCCTCGAGGTCGCCCCCTACAGCCGGCGGCGCGGGCATCCCCGACTCGCGGGCGTCAGAAAACTGGAGCCCCATGCAGAGCCGGCGGAGGTGGGGATCCACCCAAGCCGCGCAACTCCCCAGGAGCACGCGGTACACCTCCTCAGCCAACCACTTGAGCTGCGCATTAAAAACGCGTACGCTAAACTTGCGGCCCTGCGCCGTGCCCCCTCCCAAGCGAGAACAAAGACGACGCGTGGCCGCTCAAAGCAATAAACTGGGAATCTGACGACATAAAATCATCGAGGAGAAGCCAGTCGTCATCACGCACCCCAGCCTCCTAGGCATTGAGTAGCATGGCAAGGTGGGGCGCGACGTCGAAGGCCCATTGAAGATCAGTGACCGCCCAATAAGTGGGGAGGCCTTGGGCACGCCGGAGCTGGGCATGGATGAGGGGGGCAAGGAAAGGGGAAATGGGGTCTCCAACCCCTCCCTGCTGCGCCGCGCCGCAGTATTGCTCAAGTAGCGGGGCGTCGCGCGCAGTCCAGAGAGCATCCACGACCGCAGTCATGACCGCCGAGACTGAAATCGGGCGAAGACACTGCGTGGACCGAACGACCCGGGGGCCCGACTTGTGGAGGGGGGTCACCTGGCGGGCAGACCACGAAGTGCTGGTGATGGCGCAATGTCTGGACAGATTGGCCAGGGCCCTCGTGACCCGGCGGCCCTCCGGGGCGGCAGAGCGGACCGCCGCATAGCAGCCGCGGAGCGCGATGTAGTTTTGAAGTTGTCCAGTACTGCGTCGACCTCCGAATCCGAGTAGAGGCGCGGAGCGGGTTGGCCGGAGCTCGCGCCCTCCGCGCGAATTTCCGAGACAGCGAGAGCTTGCGCCCGCTGCTCCAACTGGTCAACAGCAAAGTCATTGTGCACGCGGTCAACCAGGTCCGACCGCAGAGCAGCAAGCATTTCCTCGACGTCGAGGGAACGCCCGTCGACCGGATCGGCCAAAGCAATCTGCAAAGCGTTGCGCGACCGAAAAACCCCGGATAGGAAGCGCTCGGCCAAGCCGGGGCTGCGGGCACGGAGGTTCAAGTAGCGCGAGAACGCTTGATGGCGCTCCGCCCAGGACGCCAGCGCCACCGCCCTCTTAAACTCAGCTTCTGACTCGTACGCGCTCGGGTCGAGGGGGGGTCGCGGGGCGCGCGCGGGGGCCGCCGCGGACGCCTTAGTGGCCCCCGCCGCGAACCCTACCAGCGTGTAGACAACATCCCTCGCCCATGCGGCGGCGTCTAAGAACATGCGGCGTTCCCGTCTGGAGGCGCCGCCGCCACTCCATGGCGGGCGCAACCAAGTGCACGCAATGAGGCTTTCACCCGCGTCAGCCAATGCAGCCAGAACCGGCGCGACAGCGAGCAGCGCGTCATCCCACTGGCTATCCGTGCGCCAGCCAACGCGGGACAGGCCCGCAAGGTGTGGCATGCGAAACGAGCAAGGCACGGAGCACGCCACTAAGCGATGATCGGAGTCAAGGGTGCCCCGCTCGCGTGGGCAACCGAGGCGGAAAGACTTGAATGCTCATCAGTAAGGGCGAGGTCAATGCACGTGCCGGAGTCATGGGTCGAAACTGGGGGGTTGCACGCCACGAGGCCAGCCGCGGAAATCATGGCTTCTATCGTGCGATCCGAGGCCGGCTGGCGGCAGTGCAGGCAAGTGCATTCATGGGGGTGCTCCAACACGTATGACAAGTGAACATTGCCGTCTCCGCAAATAAGAACACGCGCGCCCGGGTGGCGCGCGCGCACCGAGGACACTGATGAGATAATGCCGCTCCACGTTTCAACGTCCCCGCCCGGGGCTGGGTTAGCACGCGCAGAACACGAAGCACGGGCCGCGGGCCTCCCCTGGCACAGAGGCGCCGCCCCAAAACTCAAACCACTGCACGCGATCAGAAGAACGCTCGGGGACAGGGCGGAGGAGTTGGGCCAACTCGCACCGCGCAAGAACACCTACCGCGCCCCAGGACACAGAGCGTGGCCCCATCCACGTATACGGGAAGCCAGGAGGCAACACTGCCCCGGGCGGCATGCGCGCGCCTGGCATCGCACAGATGTCGGCGCTGTAGTCGGACAGAACTTGGGCGACAGCGTGTAAGCGCCACTCTAGCATCACATCAGTGCCCAGAGCAAGGAAGCCTAGGCGCCCCGGGTTAAGGACGGCCGCGCAGACCGCATCTCGGGACCCAAGGTGGGCAGGGGCAGGCGGCTGCTGGCAAACCCCGGCACAGAGGCCCCCAGCGTATGGCGAGACCACAGGGCGCGGCGGCCGAGACAAAACAAGGCGCTCAAGCGAGGGCGCCACCTCCCTGCGCACTAACGATGAGAGCGCGTGGACCAAGGCAGCCAACGGGGCAGCCGCGCCGCCGCATCCCAGCAGGAGAGGGGGTGGGAGAGAAGGGCAGATGTCCAAGAGAGCTCCGCAATCTTTCGCACGTGCTGACAACTCCAGGCTGCGGCTCTCTGTCCCCAGCCACTGCAATACAAGATTGCGGAGTGGTGCCATTGGGCACGCAAGCCCTCGGGCCTCCATAGCTGGCAGCGCGCCTCCTCTGGCTGCAGACTCGGCCCCGGGCGGCCGGGCGCGATTCCGAGGGGGTGTCCGGCAGAACTTGAGCCCTCTCGCCTGGCCACCGCACTCATTCACGCCCATGGTACCCCCAAGCAGCGCAGACCCCAGTGGCAAGCACATGGACGCCGGCGGCAGGCATCAGCGACGGCGGTGACAGGGCGGCGCGCGGATGGAGAGCACGCGCGCGCGTGGAGTACAACGGGCAGCACAAGCGCGCGCACGGACGGGCAAGCACGGGGACACATGCGAGCAGGAATGGCCCATCACTTCATGACCCTGCGTCCAGCATCCACATCGCTCAGGCACGCCGGGGCAGGTGCGCGCACGTGCCATAGATAACAGATGCAACTATGTACAGACCTAGCAACCTTCCACCATGCCCAACTGAGACCGAAGTGCATTGCTGACATCTCTGTCTCAACAGTATGATAGCATGCGCTCGCAGAGACCCCGAGGGCACAGGGCACCGGCGGAGAGGCAGTAGCGCACTCCTTGCTTTCCGCTACGCTTCAACCAATATGGTTCATGGCTTCCTGGGGCGGCAACGACGCAGGGTATGCAGCGGGATGTCTTCATGAGGTTACCTAGTGGCCCGCTCGAGCCTTGCGGGCGGCCGTGCGCCCGCGACGTTCAGCCGAGGTTGCCAATGCCCCTTTCGATGGCTTCCTCCGCCTCAGCTAGAATCTGGCGCGCCGACCTCTTCGGCGCCGGCCCGCGCAACAGATTAGCACTAGAGGCTGGCGGGGCCGGTGACTGGAAGTCGACCACTGGGCCCAGAAACAAAATCAGCTCCTCGATCCAAGTGTCAAGGGTGGCCCAGCCCCCGCGTACAACTACAGTGCCAAACCTCTTGTTGACAAGCTGAATATGAAACTTCTGCTTGGGCGACAACGCCGCGGTGACTTCCAGAGACGGTTGGTTCGGGTCCCCCGTAGCGAACGCTAAAGGCGGGGCGCCGCTGCAGGTGGCGCCACCGCGGCGCGAGCCATGGACTATGCGGACGCCCATAGCTTGCGCTACGTTGTGGAGGTCCACCTGCGAAGACAGGTTGGAAGCAAAGTGGGCAGCGAGGTTCAGCCTCTCAATTGTGGCTTCCTACGATCTGCCGCACCCGCCTAAGCCAGCTTGAGACTGCCTGCTCGTGCTCGGCCCTGGTGTTAAACCTAACGAGACTCACGGGTTGCGGCATGCCAGCGTCGCCAGCGACTGGGGGCAGACCGAGAACCGGCGCCGGGGCCGCGGCGGCCGCCGCTTGGCTCTGGACATGGGCTAGGATGGCAGCGGGCTGGGCAGCAGGCTGCGCAACTAGAGGGCCAGCTACCAGAGCTGCGGGCCCAGCCGCCTGGCTCTGAGCCTGGGCTTCGATGGCTGCACGCATGGCTGGCTCATCGGCAGGGGGGCGGGTAGTAAGCGGCACGACTGCAGGGCCTGCGACAGCCTCCAGCTGCGGGCCTGCAGTGCTGGGATCGACTGGGGCCCTGGCTGGCAGCTGGCTGGCGGGCCGCGAGAAGCTAGCGAGCTGCTGATTCAGGCGGGCAACGCGGGAGAGCCAGGATTCGACCTCAGGGGGCCTGCTACGCGCCACCTGCTGGGTGGCACTGGGGCCACAAGGCCCCGCCTCCGCCGGTGGCGCGGAACTCCACCCATGCCGGGCGCTCGGCCTGGAGGACCTCCAGCTCCTGGCGGAGCGAGCGAAGCGGGTCAGCCGTTGGCGGCCCGGGGTTTGCCGCCGCGCGCGCCGCATGCTGCGACGCGGCCTGGGTCTCCGGCGGCGTGCCCTCCGGGGGGGCCGAGAGCGGCTGGGTGACAGCCGCGGCTGTAGAATCGCGGACAAGGAAAGTGGGGGCCGCGGCGGGAACTACCTGGCTCAGGCCCGGGTGGCCCCAACGGCTCTCCCCCTTGCGCCTGTTTTGGAAAAACGGGGCCCCGGACGGCGCGCGACGAGACTCCCGCCCTGGCGGCAGCGGCGGAGGAGACGCGTCCGGCGGGCCAGACCAACGCTCAGGCGACCGCTCCACGGAGGCGACATTGCCCCGCCTTTGCGTTGATGGGCCCGCGCCAGCCAGGGGCGATGGAGGCGGCGGGGGCGGCGGCGGCGGCGGCGACACTGGCGCCGCGCCGATCCAGCCCGCCGGTGGCCCGCGCGACGGGCTAAGCACAGTGGGCCCCGCCGCAGCCGGGGACAGGACCGCGCGGGCCTTCGCCGACGCCCCGGGGAAGGGGCTCCAATCGCCGGGGGGTGGTTCGGCCGGGAAAGGGCAAGGGGTGGCAGGCTGCGACGGAATCAAAGCTCCGAGCGCCGCGCTGAGTTCAAGCGACGGGCCGCGCGGCTGGCTGCTTGCCACAGGCATCGGGCTACACTCATTTGGCCTGGATGGAGTCAGCTCAGATGATTGCGGGATGGGGCGGCGCCTACGATGGCGCTCGCGGCTGCTGCGGCTGCTGCGAGCGCGGCCCCTGCGCCGGTCCCTGTCGCGGTCGCGGTCGCGTGAGCGATCCCGATCTCTGTTGCGTTCACGGTCTCCGTGACGTTTGCGGTCCCGGTTGGGGGCTCGCTCAGTGGGCGGCATGGCCGCGGGCGGGGGGCAGCGGGGGCGGCAGGGCAGCCGCTCGTCTCGCACGCGGGGCCTCGGAGCCAAAGCGCGACGGGTCGGGCAAAAATCACAGCGCGGACAGACGCTCTTGGCACGCATGAAAGCGGAGAGCGTAGCAGGCGACACCCCCTCCCCACCGGCCGCGCTCGGGGCGCGCCGGTGGACAGCGGGCTATTAAGAATAAGAATATTAAAAATTATAAGGAAAATTGACGAATCATAATATGAATCATAAACATAAGAATAATAATAATTCGAATAATTATAAGGTGGCTAATGATAAGAAGAGTAATAAGAAGACGAAGAATAATTATATGCAGAAGCAGAAGAATAATACTACTAATAATAATAATAATAATATTCAGAATCAGAAAAATAATAAGAATAAGAATTACCCTGCGACGTACCCAACCCACGTGCATCAAATGGCAAGAGGAGTATGCCAACATTAGCAGGAACAGCGACAGTGTAGACGCGGCGATTTGCTGTGCAAGCTACATGGGATGCGCATGCGCTGCACGATTCACAGGACGACGATCGAAAGAACGAGGCTTGAGGCCCCAGGATCGAAGAAGAACGGGTACGGGAACGAGGGGTAGGAGAGGGATGGAATGGGGGGCGGGGGGGGCGAAAGGCCATCGCGGAAGCAGCGGCATGCATGGAGAAGGTGAGGCGGGGAATAGGACGACGATGAAAGTGGCGGGAGGAGACAGAAGACTGCCGCGTTTTTCAAGTGCGAGCTAAACCAGCAGCGCTGCCTGCTCCATGTCGTCGCAGAGTTCCACATGATAAAACTTGTTTAGAGTGCAAGGGACGAGCGAGGCGTAGCTTGCCCGCTAGCTTCTCCGCCTCCTTCCCGCGCGTTTCAGCGCGGGAGCTGAGCGCTCGCGGGCGCGCCGCCAGGTCTGCGGGCGGCGTGCGGGAAAGAAACTCAAGGCCGGGGTCGCGTATCATCAATCGGTTGTCCATCGTCCAAAGTTGCACTGGCGACGTACTGGTTGAACGCGGAGCGAGCAGCATCACGCGCGTGCCTGAACGCCACGCAGGTACAGTGCACGCGCGATTGGGACTTCAGGTCGATCACGCGCGTCTCCACCAGGCTTGGCAACACCGCGCGACTGAGGATCTCACTGCGGTCTGCCATGCTGCTGTCCGCGAATGCAATGCGCTGCCTGCAAGTAAGGCGGCGGCGTCCACTTGTCTCAGAAGATGTTCCCGCGGGCCCGAAGGGCGACCGCCAGCTCGAGCCGCGGCGCCGGCA